TGTGTGTGTGTGTGTGTGTCTGTGTCTGTGTGTGTGTCTGTGTCTGTGTCTGTGTGTGTGTCTGTGTCTTGGGTGCAGGGATTGTCACGACAGTGTCCAGAACCTCGTCCCCATCACTGAAATTCAGAGTGACAGATATCACAGAGATAAGAGCTGATCAGGACCAATAGTTGAAAGACTGTGAGCTCTGGACGTACACACACCCTACTTGTTGAGCTGTGTTTTATGACTTGAGAAGTGTTAACTGATAACAGTCATATCTGCTGTCCTTACTGGAACAGAGCTGTAAAGATTTACTGAGCTGTTGACTTAGTTACACATACTCAGAAGATGCAGGAAATGAGCAATAACTGGGCGTTAATTGCCTATCCTACTTCATGGACAGTTCCAATCTATTGCTATCAGATTACAATGTAGTCTTTGTGGTTTTAACAGTGAATCATATTATGAAATATTGCAATATGCATTTCACTTAACAGTTTGGAAACTACATTTTATCAGTTTATAGTTATCGATTTATTTGGAGCTTAAAGTCATTGGGAAATCATCTAAAATGCCAAAGGAAACAGGAAAGAGCTTGTTGGCCTGGACACTTTGGTTAACCAGACACTCGTATTTCTTGACTCACCAGATCAGTGTAATCAGCAGGTAACTTAAGACCCATTATCAAATCTATATGCGCTTCTCAGTATCACTTATTAATCACTCGTAGTAAAAGTGTTAGACTTCTTTGGAAGTTTGGTTGTTTCCTTTCTAACCAAAATTTAGGTGGGAGCCCTGATGCCACTTTCACTGGTATAACAAACACTTGCGGCTGATTTGCTTAATTTTAAAAAGATTATTTTTAATTACAAAAATTCTGTTATAGTTTTGGACACTTAGTAAACTTGGTTAAAGTTTCAAATTCAGACTACCTTAAACACTCAATTTAAAAAAAATTTCAACTCCTAGCTCTGCATGATGTCATTGAGCACAAAAGCCACACCCACCTGCAGTTCAAACCTTCTGTTTTCAAGGGTTAGCAAATCAGAAGAAAGCTGGTTTCAAGGTAGGAGGAGCAGCTCAGGTGGCTTATTTAAGAAAGGGAATGAAATTGGATTGCACCAGTAATCTGATTACAATAAATATATTTAGAAGTCAGATTCATTCAATGCTTTAGTAGATAGAAATGATACATTCTCAAATATGTTTACTTAGCCTTACCCTGAACTGCCAAAGCATAAGGTCATGCCACATATATGCACCATAAAGACCTAATCTCATAATCTCACCACACAGTCACCATCCACTCCTTCCTCACATAATTCGCCACTCAGTCCTGCAGGGCCAAATGACGCCTGATGCATGGCAGTTGGTATGGAGTCTGAATTTGACTCTCTGATAGTGTCCTTGTACAGCTGGTGAAACTTGACCGATGTGTGTGTTTGTAGGTGTGACAGCTGCGGCGCCGTTTTCCACGCCGAGTGTCGACAGAAAGCACAGCCGTGTCCTCGCTGCGTTCGCCGGGAACTCCACCACAAGAGGCCATCGTCCTTCTGGTCACCTGATGACGACAGCCCAGGCTGTTTCCACGTGCCCTACCAAGACACCTGAGACAAATACCCGCAGGAGCCATAACAAACAGGGCACCGCCGCCCAGCCATCACCCTGGACAACAAGGGCCTGTTTCTCTGATTTGTGTGTGTCTGCAGGATGGACCTTGTGGGAGCAGTGACCAGGGAGTGGACTTGGAGCACTTTGTTGCAGCGTCAGGTTTGTGTTTTTGTGTGTGGACTTGCCAAGGCACACGCCTGAGCCGAGCACCCTTTGGTTTGCTGTAAAGAGCAGGAAGAAAACCAACTGAAGAACTGCTGAGTCAGGCTCTACAGATCAAACTACTTGCATTTTGTAGTCCAGCACAAACCAATTATCCTCTGATTATCCTTATCCCATCTCCTCCTCACTCCTCATTCCTACCTTTTACATTTTTCCAACTGCAGGAGTTAGACCTGCATAATCAAAACTGATCAACTGGAGGAATTCAAGCTTAAAAATAATGTTGTGGATTGTAGCCACCTGCTCTCAAAGTCCAGCTTAAGTTTAACAATAAAATGAGTAGTCAGTAGGCAGAAAACTAGTATACAATCTCGGCAATGGATGTGTAAAAAAACATTAAATTTGCTGCTCTCTTTTGGGTGAAATAAGCAAATTTTGAAATCCCCCTCCTCCGAGACCATGCAATGTTTTTGTCTTTGTTTACAGACTAAAATCGAGAATAACTGAAAACAGATCTGTGTGTAATGGAAATGCGTCAACTCATGTTAAAGTGATAGAGCTCTCAAAACTTCAAACCCTTTTTTCACCATTTTTCCTTTCAGAGAGAAAGAGACATGTATTTATGTCAGCAGTCAAATATTAAAGGGTAAGGTATCAGTTTATTAATTTTATAATGGTAGTCAAAAGTGAAACACATTTTATAAGCTGTATTTTTTTTTCCATGTTCTTATTGACCACTGATAAGAAAAAAAAACATTTTAACAGAAGCTATTTGGTCTAAAACTCCACAGTCCTCAGTCTGCAATCAAGACTGAACCTGAGATAACTTTCAGAACATGCTAGAGTGAATGAAGTATACAAGCGGTGTCCTTTGTAATAGGATTTAGAAAAGTGTGTTTTAATGACGAGTGCAGGACAGGAAGGCGTGATTCAAATAAGCTGTTTTTACATGAAAATAGTGCCAGGAGGAAAACTTCTCAAAACAGTCCTGCAGCACAATCAGCTGCTTTACCCACATAAGAGCAGATTTCCTATAATATTACTAAAATCACATCTTCTCTGAAAGCACAGGTGCGCTGACGCAGAGTGGCTCATAAAAATCATAAGACCAGATTTCACAATAGTGCCACAAATTGTTGTCGAGATGCTCAAAGTCCCTGAACAGAGTTACTGTAAGTGACAGATTATTTTTTCAGCGGGACTCAAATGTTCTCAGCTTGTCTCGTAATGACAGTATTAATTTACTAAATCAGCTAATATTTGTATTATTTATAATATTTTTACTGTAGTGTGCGATAACTCTGACAGCATTTGGAGCACGTGGATAAACCCAGCAGAGTGGATTCTGCTGCAGGGCTGTTTTAATGAGCAGTGATTTAGTTTGTTTTTTTTAAACTGTGGCAACGTGTCTGCAGTGACATTTACAGTCTGACTAAATCCAAACTGACCACAGCTGCTGCTGTTCTGAAGAAACAAAAAAAATAATGTGTATGAAAGTATAAAAATCCTTCCCCTCTCTTCTACTTATAAGTTATTTAACGTGTGGATTTTCACTCACTCTCTTGATCGCTGTTTCTTTAGTGCAGACTCTGTCAGTGTGTTTGGGCACGTTTTCTTCCCTCCATCACTCTGACTGTAAAATAACAAAAGGGGCAATAATATAAACTGTAACTTAATTGTTTATTGTTGCCTTTTCCCCCTCCTGTGTCATTCTACTTCCTGTTGTGCTTTATTCATGCAGAATCTATCAAGCATGATAGCAGCTTTAGCGTTTTAGTATCTCTATGCAACCTAGATGGCCTTTATAATCCACAGCTCTGATGTGTAAAGGTCTGGGAACATGTTCTTTACAGCGCTGAACGAGCTGTGTTTACATCAAGTTTTAAGAATATAATAATGAAAGGAAATTAATCTAATTAATTTTCTGTCTTCTTTGCTGGTTTAAGAGTAAATAATTAAATCCTGCTATTTTTTTCTGGTTTGGTGTAGAGTGAAATGTTAGATACAGTAAGCTTTTATTTTTTCTACATAAAATATGAAACTGCTCCAATCAGTAAAAGATAGTAAAGTCTGCCTGTAGTGATCGATGAAAGCTGCACTCTCTTTGTTTTTAGGCACTGCTATAAAATCAGATTTCAAATATATTGCAAACCAGAAAATATTGGATTTCTCAACATCTTAAGACTCAAGGACTGCAGCTTTAAAGTTCAATATGCCAAAATGTGTAATATGTTTTGTTTTTTGTCTTTTGTTTTTCTTCCTAACAAGCTGAAATCTCAGTGCAGACTTTTTCCCATCTGTCCTTTCTTAACCTCCTCTTCATCAGCTTGTTTGAGCCATAAAATTACATCAATGTTGAAATGTGACAAACTTCAGCTCTGGTTTGATTCAGGAATATGTGTTTTTGTGAGATCAGTGACAGTTCTACGTGTTTGTGAAGCACTCAGGATGCTGCGCGTTGAAACTAAATAGGTGTTTGAGCTGAAATTAAATCATTTTTATTTATTTTACTTATTTATTTTTGTTTGTTTTAATGGTCATAACTGAAGTCATGTCGGGTGATATTAAAAACAGTGTTTAAGTTGTCAATTGATCGTGCCTGCTGCATAAAAACCTTCTGTTTTTGTTTTGTTTAATGAAGTTTTTTATTATTATTATTACACTTTTTGACTGTGAACTCATGCTGTTTTTGTACTTTGGAGCCCAGCAGAGGTCAAAGATCATTTAACTGTTTATCACACAGATCAGAGTTTTGCAGGGAGAATAAATCACATGTAATCAAGTCCAAATCCAGCCCACCACACAAAGTTAGCTCATCTGTTTCCAGTTGCATAACGAGCATAATCAAACCTCATCCTCATCCTGGCCCCAACAAACAGCTTCAACTCAGAGGATCAAAATATGTCGATTTAGGGATTATATTCCTGTTACAGATTGCCAGATTATAGAGTTTGTTTGTTTGTTTGTTTGTTTGTTTGTTTGTTTGTTTGTTTGTTTGTTTGTTTGTTTGTTTTCAGACTATGGCTATTTTTACAAGTCTACACATCACCCACAAAATCTGATTTCATGCCACTAAAACATTTCACACTGCAAAAGGCAAAAGATTGAAAGCCTTTTTTTCTTTTAAATTCTATAAACCATCAACTGAATAAGCACACAAAGCACCAGTGATGCATAAATTATAGAAGTGAAAGGCGTTACAGGTTTTCTGTGTGTGGAAACAGGCAGCTTAGACAAAGTTATACACACAAAGTACAGACTCGATATTATGATTTTTGCACAATATGCAAAAAAAAAATGTGGGGCGTTATCCCCAAAATATTAATTTCACAAGCAAAAGTGCAACAGTAGAAAAAGGACTCAAAGAAGAAAATGACTGAAGAAATGAGGCTACATCTAACTAACCAGTGTTTGTGTGTCTGTGTCAGCCACAATTTCATACAAGTATAATCGACTGAGCTGTGTGTGGGTAAAGTGGGTTGAAAAATTAGAACCTGTGTGAAGCAAGAGACATGCATTTACTTTTGGCCGACTTACTAAGTGAATTGGCTACAATTGTTTCAAAGACAATAAATATATTAGCAAAAGTTGAATTCAAACAATTACCTGTAAAAACTGGATACTAATTACCGTAGTACTTTATATTACCGTTGGTAACAATGTAGTAATAGTGGGGCAGTAAGAAACAAAAGCTAATAATGGCACAGTTACAAGTTATTACCACTTAATTACAAAGTAATTATCTTGTATCAACGCTGATATTTATGATGTTACCGGTACTGTAATGCTATCATTAGCCTATATCTGTGAATCTGAGTGAAATATGGGTGGAATATGCATTTGTGTAGTTACTTGTTTAGACCTAATTATCAAACATTTCTATACTATGCACGCTATGAACTAAGATTGCAAACATAGTAAACATTATGCATGCTAAACATTAGTTATTGTCATCTTAAATAGCTCAGAGCACAAGTATAGCCTCGGGGTGATGCAAGCTTCTCTATTTGTACAAGTGAAGTCATCTGAATAAATATATAAAACACAGCAAGAGGTGTGTAAACATCCTGAAGACATAAGCCAACATGCAAATTGACGCAAATGCAGACGAGGTCTTAAAAGACATGTTTGCATAAACAGTAACATTAGAATGCCTGTCCTCATCTGCCCCAAACAAAATGATAAAAGTGACATTAATATCAATTAAGACCCAGATGTTTTTCTGTTTGTTGTTTCTGACATAACGCAGAATTAATTCTAGTATTGTAATATGATAATAGTATTCTAAAATATAAAACATCAACCAACATTACCTTATTATGAGGTTACTACCAGTTTCTGCAAGTCAGTGTATAAAAATTTGAATACAGATATTCCTGTTTTGTTGCTAGCAGGTTATTATTTTTTTATCAACACATTACTATGATTAGCTTTTGGTTTTGCTCCATAGGCATATGGCCTGTTATTACCCATCTGCATAAATGTCAGTGTAATATTACTCAGCTCTTTATAGTTGTTGATACAAGATAATTATGTGTTATAATTATAATATAATTAATAAATAATTTTTATCTCCTCATTTCCAACTTGTTACCTCACTTTTACCATATTTTTACTGATCTATAATAGAAAGTACAACCATAACTATTAATTAAAAGGTAAAAGGGACATTTAGTTCTGTGTCTCCAGTCTAATGATGCATTTTTAAAGAGCAGAAACCTAATTTATGGAAAGAAAACCCATATAGGACAAATACCTGCTGGGCCCAACAATTTGCCGCTATGTAGCTAAAGTTACTTGATTGTGTACTTTGAGAAATGTATTAAATTACTTGCTAATTTTATGCTGTTGTTTCACTGCAACCTGGAAGTGCAGGTCTGTTTATTTGATTTTTAAATAATACTGCAATATTGCAACATCTGCAAATCTCTTATGTCTTTTGTCCCAGCTGCTTTTTTATTTCTTTACATGACTGCAGTGTTATCCTAGTAACCTCCAGCTCAAGCCTAAGTTGAAATTTTAAGGAAGTTTTGTTTTGTTTTTTTGGTACTTGACTTGAAATGTTGCTTATGTTTCAGGCACATGGGGATCATTGCAATATGGTCTTAGAGAATAATATATTGTACAGTATTTAAGCACAGTAGCTGGACTGAAAATCTTTTGCACTTTTAAGTTTTTTTTATTGTCCTTGTTTATCCTTGTTTTCACATCCAAATTCTGATGCAAATACAGGGAGTTGAACTTTTTTTTCTGTCTTATTTAATCAGCCCTTCCTGCTGTTGGATTTTGTTCAGATTTGTCTGCTAGCCACTGATGCCAATAAAGACAAACTTCTCAACAGTGAAAGTGTTTTGAGTGCATGTTGAGAAATTGTTTGGGTTTCACTGCATTAAGGATTGCTAATATTTTGTGTACAGTACAGTGTAAAAATGTAAGAATGTACTAATAATGTACTAAGATGCGTCCAAGAATAAGAGGTGTATTTTCTAATTGTAAACCTGGATAATTATGAGTCTGAGCTGAGGGTGGAAGAAGTACTCTAAGCTTAAATTGAACTTATTGGTATTACCATGTAGTAGAAATACTCTTGCTACAGATGTGTAGTTTAATTTTGCATTAAAATACAGTGGGGCAAAAAAGTATTTAGTCAACCACCGATTGTGCAAGTTCCCCCACTTAAAATGATGA